TAGTTATAATTATTTTTCGTAGTTATAATTAATTAATTTGATATTTTGTTTATTTTGTACGTAATTCTCTATAAAGTAAAAAATTCAAGTTTGCTAAGATATCTAATGACACATTAATTGACTTGAGTTATTTACTTTAAGTAAATTAAGCTAAAAATTTGAAAATGATATCTAATTAATAAATATTAATAATTTTGTTATAATTATTTTTTATAGTTATAATTAATTATATTGTATGTAAGCTATCAAGAGATTTAATATTTGGTGATTATTAAACAAAAGTGAATTTTATATTTAAATATTGTATTAATGTTTAATTTAATAATGATAGTATAAAATTAATGTAATTTAATTTTTATCATATAAATGAAATAGAAGAATAAGTACTGTTTAGAACATTGGTAGAATGAATTTATAGATTTATAATTTTTTTTTCAAGCATTCTTAAACATTACCAACAAAAAATACGTTGCTAAAGATGGCATGAGTGGAATTCAAAAAAGTAATAAACAACAAAACCTATGTTGCTGAAAGTGGGATAGCTACTATTTATGAGATTATCAGCAACAAGGGATTTGTTGCTAAAAGTGGGGTGGCTTATTACTATTCATGAGATTATCAGCAACAATGCCCTTGTTGTTGAAAATAAAGTATCAGTAACAAGGGATATGTTATTGAAAAGGGTGGAAAATTTCGATGACTGGCTCTAGTGACTTTTTTAACGACATGAGCTACATCGGTGAAACTCCATCTTTAGCAACAAGGGGTATGTTGCTAAAAAATCAACAACATGAAGTTTGTTGCTAATGTATTACCCACCAAGGCTTTTCCAACAAAGACATTAGCAACATGGTTTTTGTTGCTGAAATATTTCAGCAACATGCTTCCACGCAGCACCAGAACTAGCAAATCAGGGCCCTAGAATGAGAGTTCAGTGCCATGCTTGAATTGATTAGAAACTTATATTGCATATTTAATAGCCAAAGCTAAAGTTTTTGAGCCTTACCAAAGTGTCTCTCTCATATTCATAAATTAGATTGAATAGAAAACAATGTCCAAACATGCAGAATGGGTATATATGACTATACAGAATGTCCAAACAATGTTCAAATAACTAAATTTAATGACAAGAAATTAAAAGATCTATAATTCTCGTGAAGATACTAAGCAACTAAATAATTAAAGAAAAAAAAAATAAAGGGGAAGCTAATAGATCGACAAACCTAGTCAACAGTAATAAAATTTTGGTTAAATACTCTTTTTGGCCCTTTATATAGAAAAAAGCTTCTTTTTAGTCCCTATACTGAAAAAATCTCCTTTTTGATCCTTATTGTTTGAAATCCGATCCTTTTTAGTCCTTCCGTTAAATTTTGGTTGATGTGGTAGGTTAACTAACTCGAAAACTTATTTTTTTCTTTATTTTAATTACGTGAAAAATCCACCTGATACAACTTGATGACATGGTTAAATTTTTTTGTCTAATTTAACCTTAAAAATTATTTAATTACATAATTGCCATCATAAATACTTTTAATTACTTATTTGCCCCCATCTTCTTCCTTTGTCCAGCCTTTTTTTTTTTTTTTTACCTTTCAGATCTTGCTAGGATCTTTGCGAACCTAGCGTTGGGTTCGCCTGGGTTTGTGACGGGAAACCCAACGCCTGGGTTCACGTCATGAACCCAACGCTTGGGTTCACGTGGGTTCATGACGTGAACCCAACGCCTAGGTTTGCGTCACGAACCCAGTGCTTGGGTTTGCGTCACAAACCCAGTGCCTAGGTTTGCGTGGGTTCGTGACGCTAACCCAGCACCTAGGTTCGCAAAACGAACCCAAGATCTAGGCTGGGTTTGCGACAAACCTAGCTCTTGGTTTCATCTACTGATTCTGTTTGAATGCTAGGACTTTGTATTTCGTATTCCATTTTTCGTTTCCACTGTCTCTGAACATGAATGATGTGGGTTTAGCTTTTGAATTTCATATAATGATTAGATCGTTCTTAGGAACAATTTTGAGTATTGTAGTTGGAGATTTGGATATCTTCTGTTATGTATCTTACTTTTTATGTTAGATTTTAGCTTGCATCCACTAATTCTAAGTATGAAATATTTTGATTTCGTGTTTGAATTTTGACTATTGATTTGATCATTCAAAGAATTGGATCATCGTGATGAACCTAGGTTTGCGACAAACCTAGTGGCATAAGATAGAAAGGGGAAGAAGATGAGGCAAGAGAGGATAAGACAAAAGTGGGAAGAAGATGGGGGGCAAATAAGTAATTAAAGTTAAATATTTTTAATTACAGAATAATCTTTAAAATATTTCTAATGGTAATTATGTAATTAAATGATTTTTAATGTTAAATTAGGTAAAAAAATTTGGCTATGTCATCAAGTTGTATCAGGTGGATTTTCCATGTATTTAAAATAAAGAAAAAAAGTAAGTTTTTTCCTTAGTTAACTTGCCACATCAGTCAAAATTTAACGAAATGACCAAAAAAAGACTGGATTTCAAACAGTAAGGACTAAAAAGAGGATTTTTTCGGTATAAGGATTAAAAAAGGGTTTTTTCCTATAATAGAGGGACTAAAAAGGGTATTTAACCTATAATTTTCGAGACAAAGATGGGCCACTTAAAAAAGGGCAATGAAGAATATGAGTGCAGAGCACAGTAGACAATAGTTGTGATACCCCAAAATTTCTAGAATAAATAAGTGAGTTAGGGACTTGTTTGAGAAATAAATATTGTTTTGGGCTTAATAGCCAACATTCCCAAAATCGAGGGACTTAAAAGAGGGAAAATTTGGATAAGGATGGCTTATTTCTTTTCTCCCTTTTCCTCTTTCTTCTCCAGCCCGTTTCTGCTCTTGTCTTCCCGCTGCAACCCGAGAGGAAAAAAAAAGAAGGAACCAAGCAAGCCGCCGGCACCAACCTTGAGAAACCGGTGAGAAAGCTTGGATTTCTCCTTCCTTTCTTGTTCTAGAACCCAGAAATCCTTCCCCCCATCTGCAGAATTTCGGATCTGCCTTGCTCTGCTCCTCACCGTCCGGCTGCTCCTGCTTTGTGGGTGTGATTTGTTCGGTTTTTTGGTAAGAAATAGCTCGAATTCTCCCTTCTCTAGCTTTGAATTGCCCTGGGTTTACTTTAATTGCTCTTGTTCCTCCAATTTTTGGGTAAAACCCGTGAGTTCCCTGCAGGATTTCTTCTTCCATGCCGCCGGCTCTTCCCCCAAACTGCAGTCCGGTTGTGCTAGGAAAATTATGGTATGTGACAGCCATTTAAGCTTAAAATTATCCATTTAGTTTGCTGCCTTGTTATGTCCGAATTTGACAGAAAAATGGGGGATAATTCCGGTAGCTTTAGGATGAGATTTAAGTATTAATTGAAGTGAGATTTATGTGATTGAATGTTAATTGCTTGCTGTGAATTTTTGGAGAGAAAATCCCGTGAAATTAGCAGTGTTTTGCCATTTATGGAAGTGCAGTTACTGTTCATGGCACTGTTCACGGGTACTGTTCATAGAACACTGTTTACACACAGATGGTCAACAATTAACGAGGATTTAAATGATTAGTTTATGATATGAGAACGAATTTGGAGATATCTGATAATGTGGAGATTTATAGAAATAACATCGTGATTAGGGGTAGTTTTAATGATAATTTCAGTGTGAATTTATGATAGTACGGAATTGATTCTTGGGTATTTTGATTAGGTTCCCGATCGTTCTGTCAGTTAGCACTGCGATCGAGCCTTCGGTTTTATGGAATGAATTTTCTATGTTATGCGAGTGAGGTAAGTAAATTTATGGTAATGCCCGTACAGTTTTAAAAGCATGTTTTGATTTGTTTTTGAAGTGGTGGCAGGACTAAACCCATTTTACACGAGCATGACTGATTTGAAGTGAAATGTTTTATGCTTTTCATTAAATTGAGCATGCCTACTTGAAATTTAAGTGATTGTCCTGATGATTTGAAAGTGATTGGTGAATTATGAGTTTTCTGTTAACTTCTGCCTGTTTTATCTCCGATGTGGTTATGTTATTAATAACCCTGTTAGTGGGGGTTAAACGCTAGCACATGTCAGCACATGTCGATATGTTATTGTAACCCTACTAGTGGGGGTTAAACGCTAGCACTTGTCGGCACATGTCGATATGTTAGTGATAGAACCGGTTCGTTCGAGTGACCCTGCTAGTGGGGATTATACACTAGCAAATAGTGACCTTGCTAGTGGGGATTATACACCAGCAAATAGTGCGCCTGCCAGTGGGTGTTAGACGCTGGCCATGACCTATAGAGGAGATGTCTATTTCGTTCCCGTACTGTATCCGTTTTTCGTGATTGTACTTGTTGGCATGCTATAAGTTTAATAAGGGCCACTTCATATTTTACTTACTGAGTTTATCTCATAATTTTCCTTGTCCACCATTTCAGGAAAAGAAACCGAGAACGGGGAAACCATGGGAAGTGGCGAGTTAGAAAGCTAGCCATTTTGAGATAGATATAGATTTTAGAGATAGATCATGATCTTGTAAATTGGATTTTAATTGGAGATTGATATAAATTCATTGAATGGATTGTTAGTTACAAGAGTTTGATCTTCAAATTTTGTGAATTGTCAGATGTGAATTTAATAAGTTTCGAGCCTTGTGCATTTGTGGAACTCTTTCACGAGTGCACGGCGTCTGTTGCGCCTCGAATTCGGGTTTTTGAGCGTGACAATAGTAGAGGACAAGAGGAGGACCACTGGGAGCACCAACTTCAAAAATATCCAATCTGCCTTTTGGGAGTAAGGTACCAGCGAGGCAGCAAGTTTTAAGTTTGTTTAAATGGGCTTAATTCAATTTTTACTCTATTAACTATCAACTTAATTTCATTTTAGTATAAAAAATTTATTTTATTTTTAAATGGTCTAGAAACTTTAGAAAATATTTCAAAATAGTCTACCATATAAAATTTTTATTAGATTTAACAAAAAAAAAGTAGTCATTTAAGTTTTCAAAAAGTAATATTATAATCTTAATAAAATATGGTGACTTAAGAAATACTTTATAGAGATAAGATACAATTTATATATTTTAATCTATTATTTTAATCTTGATTTTGTTTGTTATTTGAATGGATAAGATATGATTTTCAGTAAATTTTACATAATTTTTATTTTTTTATAGAAAATAACTTGAATGCATAATAATAGGAGTTTTTGAGATTAATTGAATATCTTTTGAAAGTAGAGGGACTGAGTTATGAAAAAAATTCCTTTTAGGGACCTAAACGAAGGTGCTCATTACAAATGCTGGAGGACTAGACCTGCCATTTTACCATTAAAGACATTGCAAAAAGATACGAAATCCCGACAGGGGTTTAGTGTCAACACCTAGTTTGTGACGTCGATACCATGCATTAAGCCTTTGAAAAATAAGTCCCGCATGAAATAAATAGAAGCCCCGCCAGCAGTTACGTTTTGGTATCAATACCAAATGCCCTTCTAATTTTAGGAGTTTTTAATTTTCACATGGGTTTTACCTTTTTTTTATAGGGTTTCTTAAATTTTATTTGTACTCATTCGAAATGAGAATTAAGAGTTTTTTAGGAAGATTAAGACAGAGATGATTAAGAAGAATTTAATATTAAGACAAAATTAAGACTTAAAATTTTATATTATCAAATTTGTTTTACTTATTTTTGAATTTTATTTCATGATGATATTTAGGATAAACAAAGTAGAGAAATACAAAGAAAATCAAGTGAAAAAGAGAATAATTTCCAATATATTATTCAAATGGATGCCAATTACAGAAAGAGTTTAGGACAAACATAAAGAAGTAAATAAGAGGGACATAATCAATTTCTTAGACACATTACAAAATAGCAAGGGTTGCTCCTAAATACCTTTCTTAAAACATTGCTCTAAAAAAACTAGGTAAATGACAATAAAACATGCATAAGACGACATTAGCAAAACTAATTCTACTTGTGGCAACTTAGCCACTAATGTCATCCTTAGTTGCCACCTTAGCCTCTAGTGCTATGTGTTGAGCCATCTTATTTTCTCATGTATCATATGATATCAGATACTTTTATATTCTTCAGATGATATTTAATTTTTTTTTTAATTATGAACTAATTTAATCATCTAAGATTACAATATAACTTGGTTAATTTGATATATAATTTCATGATTTTTATAATTTTAATGTTTATTATTTCATGTAGAGTATATATTATTCTTCTTAATACTTTCTAATAATTAGCTACTATTAAAATTAATTTGGAGAGTACAATTGAAATCGAAAGGAGATTTTATACAATGACTTTAGGTAATATATATCATAAATTGAAGAAAGCCTGCGATAGACCAACATAATTCATGTAGTATTAATCATAAGCGGATTTAATTTTCTATGTAAATTAAGGAATTTCATAAAGCATCATGTATCTTTATTTATTTAAATTTGGTTAAATGCTAATTTTGGTCCCTCAACTTAAGGTTTTACACAATTTTTATCCCTCAACTTTTCTTTTACACTTTTTTTGTCTCTTAACTACGAAAAATGTACTTTTTTAGTTTTTCGTTAGTTAATTTATTAAATTTATTTAAATCTACATATTTTTGGTCCCTCAACTTCTAACATATGCAAATTTTTTATCTTTCAACTTAAAATTGAGGGACTAAAAATGTGCAGATTTAGATAACCTTAACGGATTAACTGACAGAATGATTAAAAAAGTACATTTTTCATAGTTAAGGATCAAAAAGTAAAAAAAAATTGAGAGATGAAGATTATACAAAATTTTAAAGTTAAGGGACCAAATTTGACATTTAACCATTAAATTTACATAAATAGATAATGAATTAATAAATAAAGATAAATTTAGTATAATTTAAGAAAGTAGATCAAATAAGATAAGAAATTATGCTATCATTGAGTTGTAAATACTTTGAAAATATATTAATTGAAATTTATATTAATTAGCTATAGTGAAATCAGATATCAACTCTTAATATCACTTAAAATTAATTTAGATTTCTTTTTATTAGTTTAGTTAATTAGTTGATTCAAATCATATAATTTTAATTATTAAAGCAAAATTAAAATTAATTAATTTTAATAT